TTCGGAAAAATTAAATTCCTTATATTGCAAACAATTTTGAACTGATTTTTTAGGTATTTTTTCATTTAAATGTGTTTTTTCTCAAATTTTTATATACGAAGTATACAAATATGCATATCACAAGAAAAGGGGCTAAATCACCTTTAAAACGATATGAAAAGACTCAGTTCAAAATTGTTTGAAATATTCAGTTTTTAAATTTTCGAAGATCTCACCTTTGACCCGTTATAGCATCTGTAATATAAGCTTTCCCAAAAAAATGTACTACCATATAAATAAGAGCAAAAGGCGGACCACGTCTGTATTTTTACTTTTTTTGCTTTTTACATGCAATAATTAAAAATAATTTTTACCAAAGGTCCAATTTCGAAATTCGAAGGCCCATATCTCGATTTCGGAGGCTAACTCTCAATCTCTAAAAAAAAGTTGGTTTGGTCCAATACCCAGCCGAGTGCTGTACAGTGTTATGGTGCATGACTAAATATTTAATAGCGTGAGCTTACAGTGTTGGAAATAATATCTTTATTATTATTTTTAGAACCTCTTCGATAAATCACAAAAATTAGGACTGTTCAGGCAGTTGGATACATTTGAAACACGCATTATCCCAAATGGTAATTACAAAAAATTATGATATTACACAGAAAATTCCTCAGATACATTTGAAGTTTACACAAAAAAAAAATGTGGTTACACACCTCCCTGCCCTTTGGATTACCTGTTAAAAAATTAATACTTTTTCTTTATGGGTTATACTTATGTATAACCTCATAACCAGGTAACCCATTTACCTGACAGTAGTGAATACCCAAAATATACTATTCAAATTAACTTCGTATTCTCTATTTTTCTGCCTTAAAATAACAGTTTTATTTTTTCGTCAATTTCAGGTGTCAACTTTTTTAAATTCAGTGTATTGAATTAAAATGGCAATTATTCTATGTATTTTATATACTTTTTTTTAACGAGTGTTCTTTTAAGGAAAATATGTTTGTACAATTTTCAAGACTAAACACGCTGTTACACAAAATGCTTTAATAAAGTAATTAAATAAGAAAAAAATATATGTATACGTAATTATATACAAACTAAAAACTAATACTTTTGTGATTTTATTTTAAAGACAAATTATAAATAATTATGGAAATTTGCAGCTTGCTAAGCTATTAATAGAAAAGCTTCTTTATCAACAATCGCTAATCGCTTTACCGACACTTGCACTTTTCTTTGTGCTTATTAATTTTCTTTATGGCTATTAAAAAAAACCGACTACAAGCAAATGCTTATACACATTTACATACATATTCATATGCATATGCATATTACTATAACAAGCAGTGGTTTTATTTTTCTCAATTTTAATTGCAGCAATTGAGAGACATGCGCCAGATGGGTTCATTTATATTTATTACATACAGTGACGGAAAAAATATATTCCATCATACGAAAATCCCTGTATGCATTTCTTATATGTAATTGATGAACTTGTTATCGCTTGTTTTAATTAAAAGTTGAGTGCTCTTCAACTAATGGGTTCAAGTTTTTTTTGTCAAGTGCTTAAAGTCACCTATTCTGTGATGTTTGCATTTCTATTAAGTTCAGTGCACGTCAATTACAAAAGTGCTTTCGATTATTCGGTTTCATTTAATGCTACTGTTGCTTAAATCATTTATGCCTGGCGAGTTTGTTAGAACCCCATCTCACTTATAACAATGCATCGCACTGTATGCTCCAGTGAATCAAACCAGTGACCACGTATTAATTTTCTTTAAATATTCACAATGTTTTTTGTGCTAAATTTGTGTTTGTTATTTTTCTATCCGCCTCATTGCGAGTGTCGTGACTCGTCATTCGATAGTCGAGTCGTATCGAAAATTCGCATGGTATTGCCTAAAATTTTCTTTCGACTAGTGTATTTAAACGGAAAAACTTGGCAGCAATGGATAGTTTTGGACTATTATAATCAGAATTATGAAGAATATTTGTTTTTAAGACCCAGGAAGAATCATGTTTCAGACTTTAATACATATGAGTTCTAACTTGGACTCGTATTGGCGTGCACTTCTAAGCAGGTAAATATGCTATTTTCTGACTTTGTTTTGCGCTCGTAATGAGGATTAACTTTTCTAACTCTAAAAAGTGTCCGAATGTTTATACATAGGGTTAAATCTTACATATGTATGTATGCATGTAAATTAGGGTGGTCAATGTGAAATGTGGTTAAATAGAAAATTGGGTATTGATATTGGAAGTCTCCAGAAGAGAACCAGAGTTTTCCGATCGAAAAATATTGATTTTCAAGAATTCTATACTATTTTTACGAAAAGTTGTTTTTCCCATATAAAATGCATGGAAAACTTTGAGCGCATTGAGCGACCTCTAAACATTTTTGGATTTCAAAATTAAAAAGGGATATATTTTTTCGAGATAGAGCAATCCTAAGGGGTGAAAGCTAAAATTCCGACTTTACTTATTTTTCGCCAACCTAATGTGTATAGCTACACTTATTATATTTTTTTGATATAGAGTAATCCTAAGGGGTGAAAGCATTAAAATTCCGACTTCACTTATTTTGCAACCAACCTAAAGTACATAGCTACGCTTATGGGCAAAATAATAGGTGAGAATTATCGTCTAAGCTTTAACCAAACCCGTTTAAATCACAGTTTCAAACTTTATACAAAATTTAGGAAAATTCAACAAATCTTCATCAAAATTTCAACTTTTTATTCTGAATTTTTAGAAAATTTTTGAGTATGCAGGTTTAAAGCCCATACAATTTTAGTCCAATGAAGTGCAAGTTTCAAACGGCTAAAAAAATGCGTTGATTTTTGACAATATTTTTTTTTTTATTGGTGAAGGTTTTTTGCACTTTTTTCATGTAAGTATGAACTTCTTATGAAATAAAACGCGGGAGACCATCAGCAACAACATCTCAAAATATCAACGCAAGTTTTTGTAAATTGCGCTTGTTATATTAAATAACCCGAAAAAGTAGCCTCCGAAATAAAATTCTCATAACTGCTACAAGTATGAAACTATTTTGGGGGTGTTTAAAAATGCTTAGTTGTTTTTTGTTTCTGCGGCACAACCGATCATATAGCCGAAAATTTAAAAAATCGGACAATAACCATGCCCACATCCCATATAACGGTAATTTAGAGAAATACAAAATCTTCGCAATTCAGTAAATATTAAAGCCAATTTATTCAAAATTGATGCCTGCAACAATTCTTTATCAAGAAATACGTTTATGGTAAAATTTTGCAAAATGGGCGTGGCACCGCCCACTTATTATCACATATATGTATCTCGGTTACCGTTCTACCAATTTGTACCAAACTCGGTATTTTTATTGTGCTTGCCACATAAAAGCAAAACGTTGAAAATTATTGAAATCGGACTAAATTACGGCCGCTTTCCATATAACGGTAAATTTCAGAAATGCTTGAAACTGCAATATTTCGAAATTTAAGGACCCTACTCAAAATTGATACACCCCGGCTTACCATCCAGCGGTAGCTTTCGGAAAGGTGAAAAAACATATATTTCATACTTGCGCCGGTTATTTAATGTTTAATGTATTTCCGCCCGAACTTAGACTTTATTACTTACTGAATTTATCAAAAAAAGTTAATAATAATAACTCTTGTAAAACTTCGAATTTCGCCAAATTGCTCAAATTATATTTTTTTATGGTTGTTAACCGAATGAAGTGATTTGTGCGAAAAAACCTTGACCGTCTAATTCTGGGTGGTCCACTTGAGAGATTTTCACTCAAAATGAGTGCAAGTTCTGAGCGGCTATAAAATCGCATTCATTTTTAATAATATTTTTTGCTGGCGGCTTTTAAGGTTTTTTTCATATAAATAGTTGGAAGTTGGATATTCGAAATTTTTCAATAATTTCTGAATAAGAAGTTTAAATTTTGATGAAAATTTTTTGAAATTTGATTAATTTTGGTGAACTTTGGGTAAAAATGATTAAAAATAGGTCGAGAAACATAAGTTTGCACCTATTATTTTGCCCATAAATGTACACATGTATGTACATATGTATATACACACATACATATGTTTATATTTTTACATAGAAAAGCTTATTTGTAACGGATTGCTGAGTGAAACTATCTTCATGCTTTTCAAATTATTTTAATTCGTAATGAATTCGCATGCCTAACTGAATAAATAAGATTTGCACATTTAATCAGCTGTTAATCAAATGCTGTGTTTATTTATACATTCAATTTATTTATTCACATTTGTGATAAATGGGAATTTTTTTTAATATCTTAAACAATGGTATTATAGCCAAAGGCGATGATTGCTGTACAGATGTGCATACATACTTACACATGTATATATGGACGTATTAATGCAAATACTGTTTGGATGCATCGGCTTAAGAAATTGATTTTCAGACACGTGGACATTCGAGAAATTTTTCGGCGAAGATTATTTTAGTGAGTTATCCTGGCCATAATAACCGCCGAATACATTTTCCAAGTCAGTTGCGCTTAGGAACGTTCTCAAGAAGAACAGAATGAGAACGAAACTTAGGGGCACGTTTCCAATACGAATGAAATTATCAAACGATTTTCAGGAAGATCTAATAAGAACAAAAGTCTGGGGAACGTTCTGCTATAGAACAAAACAAGAACAAAAGTTTTGAGAACTTAACGTTAAAAATGATGATAATTCGTAATTCTAAGCCAGGGAAAGTTGGATAGTTTCAACTTCCACATCGTTTATAATTAGTGTGAACTATTTATTTATGGAACAATTTTTAATTTTCTGTACAAGAAAAGTTCGTGACTTAAGTCTTTCGTTTACATAATTTGCATAATTATCTTTCAGTTCATTTTTAATTAATTCAATATTCCAATATTTCAAACTAATGTAGCGCTAAGAAAAAAATGTTGTTCTCGCTTCTATATTTCGCGAATTGTTCAGAGAATATTTGTTTCCGTTTCGTTCTCTGTCAGAAAGTTCCTGAGACATTAGTTCCGAAATTGTTCTTCGAGAGAAAGTTCGTTAGATTTTTTTTTCTTTGTCAGAGTGTTCCGGAAACTTTTGTTCCCGCTTTGTTCTCTTAAAAATGTTCCCGAACGAATTGTTTGTATTTTTTACATTTTGGGATCATTCCCCAGGGTTTAGTTCTGATATAAATCCCGTTGAGAACGTTCTCGACAGTTTTGTTCTCACTTTTTTTCTTGAGAAAATACTCTAGAAGGTTTTGCTCTCATTCCGGCTTCGGGGGTTAAGCGTTCTTGCGAAAAAAAACCGAAAAGCAAATATCTACAAGATAAAAAATTATAAAGGCTTAGTCACTAAGCGTAGACAAAATAAAATTGGCATAGTTTTCTTTCTTTTTTTAATGACGTACATATTAGGGATGTTAATTTTTCGATTTTTGCGATCCCGTGATTTTCGGGACATCGTTCATAAAATCCCGGGATTAGTCCCGGGATTTAGATATTTATTATTTTGCAACAACTTAACATGAAAAAATATCATCAATATAGTTTGAGAAGCCGTCTTACCATAAAATAAATAAATGAGTTTGAAATCTACTTTATTATTTAGGTTGAAAAATATTTCATTAGTAACAAAACAAAAGGCAGTAATTAAATTTATCCGCATTTAAGAATACTTTAGCGAGTACATATCTGACAAAGTAACTTAAGGCATGTCGAAAAACGCTCGATAAAAAAAAACTTAAATCAACATATGTATTGTGTGATTGAAATAAGTTCATAATACTAGTGGCAGAAACAAAAGAAACGCCTTATTTCAACCAGTTTAGTCTATATTTCTTTTCTTTATTTAATATTTAAATTTTTTTTTATAAAAGTCTACCTCGTTTTACATATAATTAACTGCATTTAAATGCGCAATTCAAAATTTGTACAAAAATTATAAAAAAACACAAAAATATTGCCAAAATTGTAAACTTTTTACTCAACATTTTTAGAAAAATGTGAGGTACGCAATTTTATAGCCCATTAGATTAAAGTAGGATAAAATGAAAGTTCCATGCATTACAAAATACCATTGATATTTGGGAATTTTTTAAACGATGCTGGTCATTTT